TTATTGAATCAACGTGAATTTTTGGAGTAGTCGCGTTCAAAATCCAGTGGTGATCACAGTTCTTCATAACTAGCAAATCATGCAGTCAATTCACGAGTTTTGCTCACAGAGCACTTTGATTTAGTATTAATTAATTGAAAACGAATTTAATATACGCGACAAACAAAAATAAAATCGATTCCTAGTCACTCACTGCCCATGTTTGAGCTAGATTAAAATCAGAGAGGTGACGTAACAAGTAGAGAATGTCCTGAGGGAAGTTACACTTCTTTCACAGAAAACAAATATATATGCGTCATTGACAAAATAGTTTTCCACGAACTGTAAACTTTTATTTCATTTCAGATAATACTTACAGGCTGCATCTACCCACGCGTAGCTCTCATTACTCGAAAGGCACCGCTTACCTAAACAAGAGCGCTTTTGACTACCACCATTTTGACCGAAACCTTTGCAACAAGTCTCACGCTCCTTTCAAAAGATAATCATTTCATGATCATGTTGGCAATCTTCAATATTTTGCCGTCAAGAGATATCGTAAAACAACGCAGTCACATAATTAAAAAACATAATTTACCGATGACTGTCCAAGGCCCGACCTTAATCCATCAGTGACAATTGATGTCATTCATAATATGTGCAGAAAACTTTAACTGATAAGCAGCTAAGCAAATTTGTTTGAATATTATTTATTCCAGTTTTGGATGTATTCGTCTGTGAACGAGATTCTTAAAAATCTAACGTCTTAACTTTAGCGCTTGGACTGTAATTATCGTGTTATGCTCTGTTGCCTTTTCGCTCTTTAATTGAGCCATTCAAACATCTTTCCCTTGGACAGCTTGAAGTAGTTTCTTCTTCGATTTCAAAGAACATTGACATTGACGCATGAAATAGTGATAAGTACTGTTAGTGGCCGAAATGCCTCATCTCGACGAGGAAATTACGGTGCTTGTCGTTAGCTGACCCCTTCCCGACCTTATCTTTCAAACTATACATCTGCTAAAAGCGAACAGCCCATTTCTGTTTTCTTATTTTATTATTTATTCTTGGTGATGAAGGCTGCTTTAAGTTGATCGAGGGAGAGGGTAACAACGTTTGTGGATGAGTGGATCCTTTAACCATGATCGTGAAAGAAGAAACCTTATTCGGATTGTTTGAAAAAAAACTACAGAGCTCATTGTTACGCAATATCCTCAGGTCACGTACTTTAAACTCACTCAGTGTTTACTCCAGGATTAGAATCAAAATAATGTAAATATTGTGATTAGTAAAAAACACGATCCACTTTGCACGACCACTTACAGACTTTTTTTACTTAGCTTAGTCCAAGAAGCATTTTGGCAGTTTATATCTTTGAATAAAGTTGAAAAAATCTTGTATTTTGAGGGGAACAAAGTCAAAAAAGAATATTTGCAACAAAAAGAGAAGCTAAATGAAAAAGGCACTTTTAACTGTTCTTCATTCACCTTGAAATTGCCGAGACTCTAAGATGGCTAAGCGATGATTAACAATATGAACTCCACTTAATCTGTTTGATAGAGATATTGAAGGTAAATGACTAACGCACTGTTCCTCGAAACAGAGGAAGGATTTCACTAGTGGTAAATAGATAGACTGCCATAGGTCACTAACGCGTTGAAGCATAAAATTGTAAATTACTATGCCACGTAACACAGAGTTTCAGCGCGTGATAGCTGCACCCAGTGTTAAGAAACCGACCAACCCCTTACCTTCATTTTGTACTAAAGGCGACCTATGAAAAGAGGCGCGGATGTTAATCTACCGGAACATGTCCGCTGTTAATTAAGATAACGAAGTCTTAGCGGCTGCCTTGCACATTTCATGAAAATGTGAGTAGACCGTAACCTACTGTCACAGAAAATCAACCAACTTCAAGTTTGAATGGTACCACTAGCAGCAAAAATTTTCAGAAGATAAACAAACCTTGAGTACAACTGTCTCAAACATTAATTTAAGATTTTTCCCCAACTGATTTTTTCAAGTGATAATATCCTGAACGGAAGCCATCTACCCACGCAGAGGAAAATGCCATGATAATTAGTTTTGATTTTGATGATAATAACTGCCTCTGGCTTTATAGATCGCCTTCAACGGTTCCCCTTTGGCAGTTTCCCAAACGTGTAATTTGGAGGAAGGCCACACCAAACTTACGCTTTTGACCCATAACCCCAACCCATTTGCCTCTACAGACTCTCGTGACAGAGACACTCACAAGTTAAGCTATTTAGCAATATTTGCTCAAAGTCTATCACGTTCAATTATAATAAAGCGTTTTTAGCGGGATTTCAGTTTCGTATGAAACCTCTAGCTGCATTAACAGTGTCTAAATACTTCTGTGGTCAAATGCTTGGAAAGGTTTTTTTGTTATTCCAAGACAGCCAAATCAAAATATATATAACAAATTCAGTATTTGTGGGCCTTCGCTGCATGCCTCTTCCCCATCTCAAGTGTCGCCGGTTTACAGTATCACTTTTTACCGACTAGAAATAAACATCCTGTAATTACCGGTTCGTATCGTTTATTTGACGGATTTCTGTTACGCTAGGAAAAAGTTGTTTTTGCAAGTATCCTTGTACACGTGGATAAGCATGTAAGTTCCGTTTGTAAATCTGCTTTATTTCATCTTCGGAATATCGCTAAGATTAGAATGTATCTGACTTTTGAGAGCACAAAGATCCTTGTCCATGCTTACGTTACTTGTCGACTGGACAACTGTAACTCGTTGCTCCTCGGGTCACCGGACTATATTATTCAGAAGCTCCAGCGCGTTCAAAACTGCGCCGCACGCCTTGTAGCTGGGCAACCTAGGGCTGCGCACATTCGCTCCATCGTTAAGGAACTACACTGGTTACCTGTGGAGCAGCGAATTACCTTTAAAGTATTACTGTTAACCGTTTAAAGCTCTCAATAATCTGGCGCCTCCGTATTTAAGTCAACTTATAGTCCCATATAACACTACAAGAAATCTTAGGTCTGCTGGCAAACATTTATTAGAAGTACTGAATGTGCGCCTGAAGAGCTATGGGGACAGGGCCTTTTCGGTCGCTGCCCCAAAGCAATGGAATGATATTCCCTTAGACATTAAATTAAGTGGATCAGTTGATGTTTTTAAATCTAGATTGAAAACTTATCTTTTCAGACTCGCTTTCATTTGATTTTTTGTTTTTGTGTTATTGTTAGTTAGTTTTTTTCTTTTTTGATTGTAAAGCGATATCGAGCTTTTGTATATACCGCTATACAAATAAAGTTATTATTATTATTATTACACTTTTTACCGACTAGAAATAAACATCCTGTAATTACCGGTTCGTATTGTTTATTTGACGGGTTTCTGTTACGCAAAAAAAAATTTTGCAAGTATCAGTGTACAGGCGTAGTCTATCCCGGGTGTCCTTATAAGCTGGAGTCAGTTTCTTTTGGAATCATACATAAGTACGCCGGGTTAGCATACGAGTCTCCATTCGTTTTACTGAAAGTGAAAAGCAGCTACGAAAAGGTAAGCTCGCATTATTTTGAAGCACTTACAAGTTCAGCGTGGCTTGTAGAAGCTATTACCTTCAACAAAGAAACAATAAGTGTATTGGCATTTAATTTTACATTTCTCCAATAGATTAATTGAATTAATGAGGAAACGTCGTATTGCGTAGGCATTTGGGTTCATACCCTTCGGAGCATAGAGATATTTTCTCGTCTCAATACATATACCGAAAGGAATTTTTCTAAACTACATCTACAAAACTACAAGAATTCTTCTCTGAATATTGAGCACCAGAAAAGAAAACTTTAATACGACCTCTTTTACAGAATATCTGAATAAGAGAAAAACGAGTCAATATTTGCCATCCCGGCCTCGCAAAACTCGCTCTCTTGAGCTCCAGAATTTTTCGTCAACGTGCAATTATTATCTACGCAAAAAAATTTTCCTCGGGAAAATTTTTATAAACAAAAAAGTCCTAACTGCTCCGTTTTGTAATTTAAGTTTATCTTTATCATTAATCAGACTGCATAGCCTCTGTTGTTGCTCACTGATGCACCTTAGAAGTAAAACATGCAGAAATTAGCACATCAATCAATTAACATCTTGTAGCGAGCACTAGGTAAGATGTGCTAATTTACCCATTCTTGAACTTGTCAAACATTAAGTTCAAGCTGGCTACCTCCTCGTTACGACGACATTTTTTCTGATACGATTGCAAAAGTTATGAATAGACAGATTCTGCACTTACTTGATCCAGGAGGAAGTCGCATAATAAGTATCAACAGACGTTTTGATAATGTTCCACCCACTTAGGTCGACATTGTAAGCTGTTTTGATACAACAATAAACATGTGATGAGGTAACTATTTCTGATAACGCTATTTGCTTCACTATGAGTGAGACCCTATGAGTTGCTTTGATACAACGCTAAACATGATGCAAATAGTGATCAAGTAACTACTTCAAGTAACGCTATATGCTTTATTCAGCCTGTGGTCGATGTGACCCTATAAGTTGCTTGAATACAACGCTAAACAAGATGCAAACAGTGATCAGGTAACTACTTCTCATTTCCCTTTTTCAGCCTGTGGACGTGAGTAAAATAAGTTAATAAAATTAAAGTTGGAGCGGGAGCGGGGTTACGCCCTCTTAATCTGTTTGTACTAGACACCGCGTATGACTAGGCAGAATTGATACTAAGGATCACGGTTTTTATTGAGGTGTACAGTTTTAATATTTAGTTTTCAAGTTCTCTTTCATGCTCGTAACTACTGACCCCTTTGAACAGGTGATGTATCTGTAAATTTAAACGAGGAAATAATTTCTGGCATACGGTTAACATTTCGTTTGTTTGAATGGACCGTACGTGTCACAAATGTGTTTAATGACACCAATAACAGATTCACATCGGTCAAGTATTTATTAGTTTCTTGGCTTCGCGCCTTGCACAGTTGATTCCTACATAATAATAACACGATCGTGGTCACGTAGTTGTCGGTTACTCTCTCGACCTTAAAAGCGATAAATTTCTCAAAGTTAAGTTCATTTACTTTAATAAGGCAACTCAAGCACAGCTATTGAGAAGGTAGGCATCCATGGTGATAATCAACTGTTTTTGCACTTTTCATCCGCTGTATGAGGGTCTTAATGGGGATAACCGTTAGGCGTAAAACGGCAAAAAAATTTAGCCGTTAGGCGTAAAAATTGACAAATTTTAACCGTTAGTCGTAAAAAAAGTTTACCGTGAAAAATATATCTGGTAGAAACAATGGAAAGGTGTTAACCGTTAGCCGTAAAAGCCATCACCCCATTGAGACCCTCCTGTATGCATGTATCCATAGGAACTGTAATATTTAAACACATTTGTGACACGTACGAACCATTCAAACAAGCGATTCCTTGAAACTTCCGATTTAAGGTCTTTAGTAGTATTGATTTTTAACCCCTGGACTAAACAAATTTGTTTGCAACTGTTTCCTTGAATTAAGACTTATTCCCTCGGCGAGTTAGGACAGTGGAAAAGGACACCTCATTGTAAATTCAAAGTTCAGAGCGGATACACTGATGTAGTATGGACCATCAATACCATGTTTCACAAACGAAATTTTAAAGCACAATTTTTTTGCCTTTTCCCATTCTGATGGCCCCGTTCACAGGATTTTTGTGAAATTGTCCAACATCTCCGGTTCAACTTCCAGTTAGCCTGCAGCACATAACCGCATAATTTACTTGGCTATACATCCGATGTTAAATCATTCAGCCAACATCGAGCATATGAAAATAACATTTCTCACATCACGCTATTTCATTTGCAAATATGTGGAGAGTTACAGGAGGGCGTAAGTCCAGAAAAACAGGTGGCGGGAGAGAGCGAGAAGCGGGATTGTTTGAGGGCAGGATGCGGGAGCAGAGAGCAGAACGGCAACTTGCTTGCTGTTTATTTATTTAAGGGCAAGATGCGGGAACAGAGAGCAAAACGGAAACTTGATTGTTGTCTATTACATCCAGTCAAACACCAGTATCCAGCAAAGGTTGTTGACCCCTATCTAAAAGTCCACCGAGGCGTAAAATAGAATTTTATAAACGAGAAAACATAATTTGTTTTCCACAGGCTGAAAAAATAACAGCTTAATAGCGGTGAAATTGGATACGTATTGAAGTCGGAGTTTCGAAACTCTTTACGCTGGCCAATTGGTGATTTTCTCTCTCACGCCACCAAAATCCAAGAGAGTGGGCTATTTTAGAATATTGATATAAGTAAAATTTGCCCAATTTTCAGGTCTGTAGGGTTTTTCGCCGGCGGTGACAGCGTTCAGGTGATACTGAGATTATTACTCAACGACCTCCACTTGACAAAAATATTAAAAATCATATCCATAACCGCAAGAGTTCAAAGACGTGACTGACAACGTTATAATGTAAGGCAGATTACACTGAAACGTGAGTTAATAGAATTCCATAGCTAGGCAGTCGAAGTAAAGAAAAGAAAGGCTTTGTCTGCCTGGGAAATAACGATTGTGTGAATGCCGAAGAAGGAAAATAGAGAGCATGCAAGAGTAGATTACCACTAAACGAAACCAAGTGATAAAGACGGCATAACTTACGTGCAAACTTTAGTTATCTTCAGTATTAATATGATATGGCTAAAGATTTAGCATTGGGCGAGGAAACCCCTAGGGAAATTAAGAAGCTTATGCGAGCTACAGGCTCCTCATATTTTACAAAAGTGAGGTATCAGTTTTATGGCGTGATTTATGTACAAAATATTTAAGGTTGAAAAGGAAAGGTCGCACACACATAAAACAATAACAACAACAGTAGGCACTCAAACAAACATTTACTTAAGCAGGGTGAGAAAAGTAAGAAAAAACAATAATAATAAAAAAGAATAAATAAATAAAGAACAACAACCAGGGAGCCAACTAAGGAGTAATGTTCGCAACTAAGACTTAAACAGGGAAAATGTGCCCATGTTTTGGATTTCTATATTCAGAGAATTGAAAAATTTAAGTCCTTGGAAACATAACGCAAACTGTTTGATATTTGTTCTGCAAGAGGGGATGTAAAAGGAATTGTATTGTCTGGTAAAATACCAATGATTGCTACTCGAAAACGAAAATAATCTTTACGTTGTCCATACATTGAAAGTGAGTATCGTTTGTTTCTGTAAACCACAACTCGTGAAAGTGTTACAAAGGAACGTTTCAATTTTTCTGAAGGCTCAATAACTATAGTAAGGAAAACTGTTTTCATTATTTCACTATCGTTACCGTTTGCTTCACTTGTACCATATAAACAACGACATGAAGCCTAGTGAACACACATCGATCAAATTTTGTATCCTGCACGACCTTCATAAGGTACTGGTTCTAGAAAAAGTCAAGCATTCGTAAAGAAGTCACAAGATTTGATGGATGATTTCGTGTTTCTGTAAATTAAAGCTATGCATGCCTCGACTTCAGGGATTAGAATCATAAATACTTATCAACATATTTTGATTTTTGCTTTATCAGAGAGCATTTTAGAACCTCTGCTCTACTGAAAAATAGATATTTTAAAATATCAATAATTTTTTAAAAAATCTACAAATTAGAGAGGAGCAAATTAAGAGTTGGCAGAAAACGTGGGCCAATTTCAAAGAGGTGTCATTAAAACACGTAAATAGGCTTATTCATTTTAATGCATTGACAGTGAAGTTCACACAGCCAACAAAAGTCGCGAATTACCAGGTTGATAACAGAGCTCATTGTTAGTACTCTGCCATAATTTAATAAAGCAAGCGAAATGCATTCCGAAATTTGTGCTTCGTTCTCAATCGAAAATCACGCCATGGAAAAAAATGACCATTTGCCTGCAGACTTTGTGGTAGAAAGTTATTCTCCACCCAATTTGCGACAATGCTTCTTACCTTAGGCAGCTGTAGAATTGGCTCAAAACACGCTGATCCGTAAAAATCTTGATTAACGACTCTTTGCGATGACTTTCCTTACCAGTTTTGTTCAGATCGCGGAATAAAAATGTCCTTAGCAATGCTGAAAGATCCCAACCACACAATTACAGAGAATGGTGTTCATTGCTCAAATTCAGACTGTGTACTCCCAATGTGCATCAACTCAAAGCTTGGTAACCTTATCAAGAAAAGCACTGACTGCAAAAGAGCTGAAAATTCTAAGGCAACTACGGATACGAGCCTGAAAAATGCAGCTGACTGTAAAATGAACAGCGTCGCCGCAAATGGAGATATGGAGCAATGGTGGAGAGACCTTCAAAGCTTGGGGATTCTGGATCAGTTTCCCAGTAACACCCACACTGACCGGTCATTCCTCTATGAACAAAATGATTCTTCTCCCAGTCAGTTAGGCGCAATACTAAGACCATGTTTCAGCCAAGGGATCCGAGTGCTTGGAAATCAAACACAACCTTGCATACAACAGGTGCATCCAGGCTCTTCTACTGTCCCCAATCTACCTTTCTTTGGTGACGGACTCTACCAAGACACACAAACGGTGGTAACAAACCCCTTAATTCAGTCTGGAATTGCCAAACATGAAACAGACCCACTGAAAGACTCTGATGCATCCAGGTCTGCCAAGTCTGGAAAGTTGTTTGAGATTCTCTCCTTGATCTTTCAGGCTCTTGAGGGCCCTCATACAGCAAATCTTGAGGAGCACTATGCATCTGCGTTACAGAAGGCCCTTCATGAAATTCAAGCGGTTAAGAGTCTGTGTCATCATTAGAGAATGAAATATTCATTCACTGCTGCCACAAGAAGAAACAGCCCAGTCTTCTAATAAACTTAGAGCATAAAGTTTCCTTAAACGACTGGTACATGCATAGGGCTACAAGCTATAGAGTCTTCCCTTAGTGGAGTTTACCAAGTACCTAGGTAGATGCATGCTATGAGGTACGTTTTTTGATGCACGTTTTAATGCATTACCACCACAGAAACGATGTACACATGATCAAATTAATTTTAGGAACACAATAGCCTCCGAAATGACAACCAACAATGAAAGTTCATCATTAAAATTTTATTGTAGATCCTCTACAGAGATAGGGACTACAATTATTTGCTACACTGAAACACCCAACAAAATTCTATGATTTAGACAGATCACAACTGATTCTTCGAATTTAAATGTAAATATGTAAGCAATTGTTACTTACGTAAATGTTTCTTGTAATTAGTTGTTTTTTTTATATCATCATTATTATTTCATGGTTGTCCTCCTTAATGTTGCTTTTCTTTGTGTAATTTGGTAGCCATGATAGAGGCTATTACACCAGACGTGTATTAAATATTACATATTTGATTGAATTGGACACCTTAAGAGATAGTTAATATATTTCTTAGATAACTGCTTCTGTATGCTCTTAAATCCCTTCTTAAAACTTCCATACAGTAGCTCTCGGCTATGAAATGTTTGTAAAAAGTCGTTAAATCTTATAGAGGTATTTAGGTAGGTGACTGCATAAAGAAGCTAAAATATACTTATGTCTATATCATATGAATGGAGTTTTGAAAAGAGGGCCAGCAAGATGACTCAACTCCCCTCAGTATTAAAAACCCTTACAGTCCCACTAACAAGGGAAAACAATCTCACCAAGATCTCCGCTTGCTGTAGCCATTCACGTCCTGTTGACACTTTCGCGTCCTGCTGAATACTCCCTAAAACTCCCTAAAACTCCTGATATCCCGCGTGAGATTCAAGTAAAATCCTAATCAAGTTAAAACAATAGCCCTGTGCTGCTACTGCTAGTCATTATAGGAAAAGCACAGAAACATACATTCGCGTTACGGCTTTGTGTTCCGCCCCACTCCCCTTGGAACTAGTCAACGGGGCACTAAATGTATATTGACCAATAGACCCAGACCCGATAGACCTATTCATTCCCCCCCCCCCCCCCCCTCTTGCTTGTCGTGATATACCTGGCACGGAGAAGAGAGAGAAGATGGCTCAAATTTAGCTCTTGAGTCAGAAGTAGCACTCAAAGAGTGAAAATACGGTTTTTTACGACCACCCCACTCCCCTGGGGTTAGACCAGGAGACTCCAAATGCACACTGAGTTGTAGCCCTGACCCTACAGAGTTTGTTGATATCAACTTAGTTGGAGTTTCCGCTCAGAACAGTGGACGCGAGTAAAAATAGTTAATAAATTAAAGTTGGAGCGGGGTTACGCCCTCTTAATCTGTTTGTACTAGACACCGCGTTCCACTGGGCAGAATTGATACTAAGGATCTTGGTTTTTATCAGGTTGTACAGTTTTTATATTTAGTTTTCAAGTTCTCTTTCATGCTCGTAACCACTGACCCTTTGAAACTAGTGGTGTATCTGTAAATTTATACGAGGAAGTAATGTCTGACATACGGTTAACATTTCAACATTTACATGACATCAGTTCCCATGGAACTCCATAAAGGTTCGTTTGTTTGAATGGACGTAAGTGTCACAAATGTGTTTGATGAGACTGATAACAAATTCACAGCGATCACGTACTAATCAGTTACTTGGCTTCGTGCCTTGCACAATTGGTTCTTACATACCAATAACACGATCATGGTCACGTAATTATCGGTTAGTCTCTCGACCTTAAAAGCGACAAATTTCCTAAAGTTAAGTCCATACACTCTAATTAGGAGACTCGACCACACCTCTTGAAAAGGTAGGCATCCATAAGCATAACCGCAAGAGTTCAAAGACTTGACTGACAACGTTATAATATAAGGCAGATTACACTGAAACGTGAGTTAATGGATGAGGCTTTGTCTGCCTAGGAAATAACAATTGTGTGAATGCCGAAGAAGGAAAATGGAGAGCATGAAACAGTCGATTTCCACTAAACCAAACCAAACGATAAAGACGGCACAACTTAAGTACAAACTTTAGTTATCTACAGTACGACTACGAAGGCCTAAGGTTCTCCAGTTTTGTGCCAACTTCCATAATAGAAAGGGCCAGGAAGCCAAATGGAAAATCAAATCGGATAGCTTGCACGTGATCCTGTGACTGTAATAGCTACAGGATATTTAGTAACAACGCTAAGCTAGTTACGTGATGGTATGTGGCGTGATCAAAGTGTCTGTGATCTAGGAAAAGGTATGACTTCAGTCTAATGTCAAATAAGACTCAAGCAAATTCCCCAGTAATGCGTCATACACTTTTTAAGCACGTTTTGCCGGCTAAGATGCTCCTGCGAAATCTTGAAGAAATTAATTAAGAAAAGGACGTTTGAAAACTAACTAAATAATTTGAAAATTATTGAGGTTGACACTAACAGTGATTTGTGACAACAAATCAACATGCACTGAATAGATCTCCAATTAAATAGCTGAATAGGAACTGCTAACTAAAAAAGAAGAAGGGATGTATGATTCTGATAATTTACGAAGATTAATTTACACGAATCTCAGTTACTATTTGAAAAAAGCCGTCCGGACATCGGCCACTACTACTTTAAATCATAGGATGTCGTAACTGCTACTTTGTACAATTTATAAAGCAGGCAATTGTCCAATTATTCTTGACGCTTAAATACAAAACCTTTCGACAAAACTTATCACAACAAAGTGTTGAAACAGAGACCGTCGCCTTTCCACCCTCTAAGTATCAATTACTATCTGTAGTCAGTAAAGAGTTTTAGTTCCACCTTTGGAGTGTTCATCGCAAATGTCGAACCGCGGTCGGCAGTTTTTGGTCAGAAGTTAGAGGTTTCGTTTTAGGCTTCTGAAGTGAAGAAATAATCGCTTAAATTTAGATCCAGTTCGATGTTATACTGTTCTCACAAAGGTCCGCACAAAAGAGAAGACCGCTGATAGCTTGTGCCGTACGTTGTGCCATATGGTTTTGTTTTGTATCCCAAAGTAATATTTGGGCAGAAAAATTTTGGATGAAAAGAATAAATGCTTTTACCTGGAGTTTGATATCATTTAATTAATAAATAAATTTCAAATATCCTGAGCTTGCTTCTCTCGGTTCCGCGTCGATTGTGTCCACAGAACAGCAACCTGTCAATAGCCGGAGAAATCATGGGTTTATGTGAAATTTCAGATATTCCTCGCTTTCCAAACTGGTGAACTGGACTTTATGATAACTCCAGCAAATACCTCCAAAATTCAGCGGTCGGCATCTGTCGATACTCTTCTTTGACTCGTTGTTGCGAACTAAACTCGAAAACTAAAGCCATGTTTCGCGCTTAATGTCCCGTTGAAACTTTGGATTGCAGCTGCATTCTCTTCAAGAATCAGTCATAGAACTCCACCTGTAAGTCTATGTGTCGAAGTTTGGCGTTTTGGAATTTAAAGCTGAACGATTGCACTATCGTGCATAACAGAGGTCCGCATTAGTCATAGCGGGTGAACCCGCTAACCCTTTACTTTTTTTGGAAGGCCTGCAAGTGAAGTATAGCATGCAAGTGCTTTTTCGAAACCAGAGAGGCTTCAGTCTGTAGCGAGTCTTCAGCGAGGTTGTTAAAGCTTTCATTGGACAGAGGATACGCATTGACGAAACACCCAGTGAAGGGAACAACAGCTGCAGTAAGAATAGTAGACGAATCAAAGAACACTCTCTGTATAAACAAGATTGAGCATTTTAGTAGCTTCCACAACTTCGATTCGAATATGGAGATATCGGTCTGAGAGTTTGGAAATGTTATGGCATCGGTAAAGGGAAGTACATTCCATATGACGTAATTTATATCAAGCACCAAGGTCAAACGTCCCTTCAAACCATAGAATCTCAAGGGTTTTATGATCCTCCTGAAAAGCGTGTGGTCAAGCGTCGTTCAAAGGGCAGCAAGGAAACAGAGAGTACAACGCCATTGTTTGAATGCTCTGTGTTTGGATGTGGTGAAGTGTTCGAAACCTTTTCGCAGCTGGAGCTGCACCTGGACGTGGGAAAGCATACAGTCAGCAGGTTAAAGCCAGTATGATGCAATCAAAAGGGACTGGGCCCTTAAGTTCTCGTCGATAGATACCGCTGGTATCGAGTGTTCGAGCTGTTCGTTAGATTCTAGTACACCACTCACTTCTCCCGTGGATACTTCGCCCCACTCGTCTTTACGAACAGGATGGGCCGTAAGCAAACCAAGGGGCAGCGTTAGATTTTCAGAGAAGGTAAAAGAATACCTAACGGCACGGTTTACACTTGGAGAAAGAACTGGGCGAAAGGCCGACCCCGCCCAAGTTGCAGTGGACATGCGAAATGCGAAAAATGAATCAAATGCACGTTTGTTCACTAGAGAACAGTAGCTGACAAAGAAGCAAGTTCAGAGCTTTTTCTTTCGGCTAGCAGCAATGCGGCGAAAAGATCAGGGTGTGATCGGGATATCACTGGATGAGGAGGAAGATATCCAATGCGTCCAGGAAAATTCCGAGAGATAAGATCCTGTAGACAAAGTTAACAAAGAGATCAAAGTCTCACATCCAATCTGCTACGATACGTAGGACCTCTGTGAACGTTACCACAATAACACACTTCAGAAATTCAATGTGGTTTTGTTGAGACCCATCTGTAGTCATTTTGAGATCCCTGTGAAATTGAGAGACAAAAAACAGATCCTCATAGACAAACTGTCGGACGTGATTAGTGATTGTCAGTGTGTTTCTCAGTAGACTTATGTAAACAATGTCTTATACGGTGGCTGAAAGTGTAGAATATGCTCTACAGATACAAACTACCTTTACTTCCGATATCAAGTTCTGACAGCGTTGTTATAGTGTAATATATTATAATATCTAGTAGTCAGTGAAATGTTTTGATGAAATCGATTGAAAATTTACCAAAAGCAACACTTATAACATCTGTTCATACGAAGCATGTGTCAAGTTTTTAACACGT